AATACTAAAATGAATAATTGTAGACAGATTTTGACAAGAAATCGTGTCACTTTTATGTGTGCTAACATTTGTGAAGAGCGAAAAAACTTGTGAGTAGGCTTCTACCTTAAAATGCTTTGACAATAATGCTAAAGTACGTACAGTCTTGTCTTTTTTACAACATTTTGCCGTAGTGGATCTAGGGTGTGGGTGTGTGTGGGTGGGGAATGGTTCAGGACCCCTTATCCAAAATGGTAAAATAGTTATGTTATGTGAAATAACTTATCAACGTAACACAAAGTAAACCAATTGAATTTAAAACCGAGAATATAAAAATGTCTGTAACAAAGCTCAACAACTTTTTGAATATTATAAAATTCACACGTTTCACGTCAAATATATTTTTGTTGTTTTCGAACCCTCTATTCAAAAGTGCTGGCTACGGGCCTGTTTGAAATGGTGAATAAGTTGTTATTATTATAACATTATATACCTATACTATTAAATGTTCCATATTAATCCAAAGGTCCCTTTAAAATATTATATGAATTGTATAAAGAGGGGAGGCAAGGGGGGTAGCTGGTACGGTTTTACGGGAAATAAAAAGGGCTTTTCACAATTTACAAAGAAAAAAAAAGACGTTTTTACAGTTTACAGTGTTAACAAATGGAACATTGAATTGTCCGAAGAGCTCTCCGACTCAAATTCTCCGCCATTGCTGCACCGTGTGAAGAGACGCATGCGCATATTACCCTCGTAATGTTCTTCATTCGGTTAGAGGGCCTTTTACGTCTTGACATTCAATTTTGTAGTGAATTGTCGTTTTACAGTTTCTAAAATGTAATTTCCCTGGATTATTCTTTACGATTTTTTTATTTGGATGTGAATTTTTGTACATACAAGAAAAATGACACATTTTTACAGTGTACGAAAAAAAGATTTGATTGATTACGTTGTACGTCTAGCCTGTGATTACAGAATTACGGAATTTATTTTTTCTATTTACATTGTACGAACAAAAAAATATTGCAATTACGTTGAACGAAAATAACCCTTGCCCCCCCTCTATAAAAGTTCCCAAATAGTATAGCAATATATTTAAGCAAAATTTTGGTGGGAAAAATATACAAGCCATGATTTTAGTGACAAAAATATAATTGACACTACATAAGGAAAACATATTTGATTATGATGATATCTAATTGGAAGAATGTAGTACTGACATGTGGTTCTCATAGTTTCAAAGTGCTTTCATTTCTGCACGTATTTTATACCCAATTTTTTTAAAGCCCAATTTTCACATATGTCTTAAAAATTATGCATGTTATTCACACTAAAATTGAGTTATTGCAACTACAAGAAATAATGAGATAAAGGACAGACATTTCCCTCTCATAAAAATAAGCACTTATGCATTTTTTTAGTATACATGATTTCAATTTTCAATCTAAGCTAATCTTATCAGTATCAAATTGCATTCAATTACACTTGTGTTGATGTAACATTTCCACTCAGCGACAATTGATTACAAATTTTTCTGGTTTAAACTAGAGGCACATTTTTAACACTATCTCCACAAACATAGGAGCCAGCTAGACCAAACTTGAACAAAGATTACTGGTTGATAATATTTTAATGTTTGGGAAAAACAATTACTAGAGTTACTCTGGCCACAAATAGTGTTAACAATGACAACAGACATTGTAAGCACTATATCTCACTATTTCATTATCATTATGGGCAAGGTAAAAATGGGAGTGTTTAACAGTAATTGCAAGCTAGTGTTGACTTGTATTGTTTTACATGTCTACAACGTCTGATTTCTACAACTACTACTACTGAATAGCTATGTTTGAGAACTGTAAAACCAGTCAGTGTTGTTCTCTCTATATTATACTGATATCATCCAAGCAAATCAAGAATGCCATTTGTAAATTGCCAATTATTCACAACTACAACTATACAAGGACATTGAAATTAGAAGATTATGAATGTTT